CCATATTTTGCTGGCTTGCTGGGCATATACTGCTGGAAAGGACAACAACCTTTGGACAAAAGACATTAGCATCAGTGATTAGTATCAGTGTCACAGAAAACAGTCAAAGAAATCAATAGTGAAAATCACTTTTATTACAAATATGAAAACAGATTACCTCTAAATGGAACCAGTTGCTCATCCACTGTTACATCAGGCTCTGGATTGTAGAGGTAGGGTAACCGCTCCACCCACTTGTCCCATACCTCTCTTATGGCTGCAAGTTTGTCTGTCATACATCTTGCTGGTCTTGATTCACGGTCATCAAATCGCATCAGTCTTGAGTAGGTGTGAAAGAGTTTGAGTGGCATTGTGGCTCGGAAAATTGGCCTTCCACTCTCTGCTTACTTCTGCTACTGATTGATCTGAGACACAACTAAAACTTTGTAACATTTTATGGTTTGTAAATAACTCTGTGACCTTGATTTCAACTCCATTTGCCTCACGGGTCATTTTGACCTGAAGACCATCTTTGTACCTTTTTTTGTACAGCTTACATGGAAATGAGACTAAAAGCAACACTGAACTTTTTCTATTGTCTGGGCCAATCTAGGAAAAGTCTTAAAATCTCAAGTTAAAAAAATTACATTTAGGGGATTTTGGGGGGGGGGGGGGGGGTTAACACAGTGGCGGGTCATTTTGACCCGAGGACAACAGGAGGGTTAACATATTTTGATCAAGACGATAAAAGCAAATTACAATTATAAAAGCATAGAAGTGTACATAACCAGCTACATGATGTACAAAAGCAAAACTTGCAAAACTAATTTTTTGATGTGCAGAAGTGACACAGTAATTTGAAGATTGAACAGGTAGTTTTAGGAATTTCAATTCTGTTCTGAGAGATGCACCCAAACTGAGAAAAGCTGTAAAATATTAATATATAAATTCTCTTATTTTAAAATCCTTCAACTGTCATGGACCCAGGACTTTAGTGCAAGTATTTTGGGGGGGAGAGTCAAGACGTCCCAAAGGAAAATATTAAATAATATCTCTGATGCCAAGCTTTATACTTCTAAGTATTAACAAAGTATTGAAACAAAGCTAACATGTTCTTCAGAGATTTAACTTGCATGCATGAACATTTCACATCAAAGTAAATTTAAATTAATTATTGAACCAAACTTGGAAAAAGTTGCTTCTGCCATTAACAATAACTTTAAGCACATGTAGTCTAAAGTAGACCAGAAATATAATTATGCAGCCGTTCCCACAGAAACAAATTTAAAGGAAGTTTTTGCATCTGTGAAGATTAAATGTTCCGTATAGTAAAAAAATTATAGCTGCAGTGCATATACATAAACCCGCATGGCTCAGAAACTACACATTTCTTTGTCAGTTGGTTTAAAGTTAGCTAACTTCAGTTAAAAAAACCCTGAAAGGGACTCAACCTGTGATGTGTTGCCCTTCTCCCCCTTTAACGTGCAAAAATAGCAGAAATTTGATTTCAAAGACAGTTTGCAGCATCTTGACAAGGACCAGGCCTACTGGGGTCTCAGCACCCTAGTTAGCAAACCTTAGTTAGACACAGTGACTTTACTGTGTTGAGGGTTTAGGACACCACTACAGGAACAGAGTTAAAAGAATCTTGCTGTGATGCTGAAGGATCAAGCAGCAATGCAAACTAGATAATTATTTGTTTACATGACAAATAACAGTCTCCCCTTTACTGTAAACCCTGCTATTTATCACAATAACAAAATGAAAAACTCTCTAGACAAGGGGTCCCCAAACTACAGCCTGTGTCATTTGGTCTGGCAATGCTGGATCCGGGCCCGCCTCCTCATACCAGAGACCATTCAGTGTATTTTTTTCATATATTGTATTTCTGGTTTGTGGATTTTTCTTCAAAACCCCAGGGGGGGGCCTTGAGCAGATGTTAAACTAACTTTCCCTCAAATATATACTAGTCAGTCCCAGTCACCGTTTTTACTCACGGTTTTTTTCATTTTTCCCTTCTGGGTAAAAATCTATCTAAAAGCGACCGCGAATGTGTCGTAGTCAGCAATACCCCCCCGTCGACAGTTTCAAAAGACAGAAACAGCACACACCCCCCCCCCCCCCCCCCCCCCCCCCCCCCCCCCCCCCCCCCCCCCCCCCCCCCCCCCCCCCCCCCCCCCCCCCCCCCCCCCCCCCACCCCCCCCCCCCCCCCCCGCCCCCCCCCCCCCCCCCCCCCCCCCCCCCCCCCCCCCCCCCCCCCCCCCCCCCCCCCCCCCCCCCCCCCCCCCCCCCCCCCCCCCCCCCCCCCCCCCACCCCCCCCCCCACCCCCCCCCCCCCCCCCCCCCCCCCCCCCCCCCCCCCCCCCCCCCCCCCCCCGCCGACAATAAGTTTCTAAGGTATCTTTCTCCAAAAACTAAGACCCGGGCCCCCAAAGCAGAGAAAGGAATAGCTATGTGGCCCTCGCAGGAAAAAAGTTTGGGGGCCCCTGCTCTAGACTATTTTTCTACTAATAGCACAATATTTAAAACCAAGTGTGGGATTTGTGAAACTTCAATGATGGGTGACTTTACAATTGTATGATTTTGGATAACACTAGAATTGTTCTTTTATTGAAGTTTCACAAATCAGATAAAGGTTTTACAAAACCCCACACTTGGTTTTAAATATTCTGTATGAGTTGAGAATAATCAGTCCAGATTGGAGAGTCTAGGTGTTGTAGTTTTTTAGCCAGAGTTTAAAATTAAAAATGCTGATTGTAGTGAAAAATTAGGTGGAATTGCCCTTTAGCCATTTCCCAAATTGGAAGCAGCAATTGGGGAAAACCCAACTTCAGCTTCATTCAAGCAAGAGGGGCTAACATATAGTTCTCTTAATGTTAAAGATCAAATACTCTCATAAGTGTTGGTGGCGTTGGCTGTAGGAGTTTGCTTTGGGAATCGGTGGATCGCCTGATCGATGCCTGGTCTACTGCTGAGATTTCAGTTTGGTGTATTAAAGGCATTATTTAAAAAAAAAACCAGCATTCTGTTTTTGTAAAAAATTCTTTTGCAGTCTTGTTTACGCTTTTACATTGTAGATCTAAACATCAGCAAAATTTGTAATTTTGGCTGATTGCTACTGTTAAGTTTAGGGTAATTAAACTGCTGGCAATATTTACAATTTTTTTAAGAACTTTACAATTTACTTTTATTTTTTTACACTATATTTCTGTTTTTCTACATTCGTGACTGTCACAATTATTTTATGATATATATTTATTCAGTTATGATAAAGCCATGTATTTTCTACGGCAGTTAATGCTGTGAAAAATTCTGGTCAGTAACTGTGGCATTTTTTCAATTTTTTACCGTAAATTTACTGACTTTCTTTGCAGGTTTCGACTTACGGTTTTGTTCCCTGTAATTCTACGGTAATGCAACGTTTTTGGGTACGACGGTTCAAAAACTGTTGGTTCTTTTACCATTTCTTACCGTAAATTTACTGACTTTCTTTGCAGTTTCGACTTACGGTAGTTCCATGTAATTTCTACGGTAATGCAATGTTTTTGGATACAACGGTCAAAAACTGTTGGTTTTTTACCTTTTTTTACCGTAAATTTACTGACTTTTTTACAGTGTATATATAAATATAAAAGAAACAAAAACACATACAGCCATAAACTGTTTACTATTTATTAACAAAGTTTTATTTTTTCTGTAGCTGAGCATTCATATCAATAAATAATATTAATCTTATGTGAAGACAGACCAAAGCCCTGACCATATTTACAGAGTGAATATTTATATAGTTTTACAACAAAATCAATGGCCATAAAAAGAAAAGAAAACTTAATGGGAAATTGAAAGGAAAAAAATCCTGATTCTTCCAAAAGGCTCACTCCAACAGTCAGTTAGTCACATTATGTGGTAAATATATGTATTTAGTATGGAAGCACCAAAAAATACCCCATTATATCTTAGCATTTCAAGGAGCAATTAATCATAGAACACTGTGATGATATTAATTGATTAATTTTGCCTCTCAAATTAGAGATATGCTTTTGTTTCTTACATAGATATTATGTGTTTTTTTTCTTCTTTAGAACCCCATTAAAGTGTCATGTCATTCCCAGCTATTTGGGAAAATACTGTGCTAATTTTATTCTACTCTATTCTATTCTATTCTATTCTATTCTATTCTATTCTATTATTAAAGGGTGAATAGAATGATTGTGAGATTAATTATTATAGCCATTCTGGTACTGTGCAAATCAGGGACTGCTTGTCCAGCAACAGACAGCTCTCTATGAACGATTAACTGTTCTTACCAAATTAAAGTAATGTTAACATTTAGGGAGAATCAGCCAGAGTTCTGACTTGAATGTGAAACAGAATCTATGTGGAGTAAAAAAATAAGGGTGATGGTAAAGAAGCCTTCCATCCTTAGAGACTAATTTAAAAAGAGGAAGGTAGGTTTTGATTGTCGTGATCCCAATGAGACCTTTCAACTTTTTCTTCTTTTTATCAAAATTGTAAATGAAAAGGACACATTTTCAAATAAATTACTTTCATTTAAAGCTTTTACATTGTAATTTATCTTTTGAGAGTTTTCTCAATGATTAAATGGATAAAAACAATTAGAAAATTAGATCCGCCAGGAGTATGAATCATTTAAAACTGTTTAATTTCATAAGTACAGCTAAATTGTAACTCACCCCATGTAAAAAAAACAAAAAACAATGCTGCTCACAGCATTGTTTAAAAAAAAATGCCACCAAAGTTTTTGGTGCAAAGAAGCTCTGAGGGGCAGGACTAATCATTTGGCACCCACTTTGATTTCTGAGGTTTTATGGAGCCCTGACTTACTGTAGCAGCTATTGGTGGGATTTATCCTCAAAAGCACTGCTAAGATGAAACCAGTTGTTTGGTAAAATAGGAATATTAATATTAATAGCCATTTAACAATTTAGGGCACTGAGAATGTTTTAAAACACATATTGCAGAAGAAAAAAATCATACATGAAAAATTACAAAAACTTACTTAATTGGCTATATTTATATATTGAAAAAAAGGTTAGGTACACTTTGAGTATTAAAGAATTAAAGGAGGTGTCAATAAAGGAAGAGTTAAGCAAGTCAAGGAATGTTGAGCTAGTCACTACTTCTTACTAGCAACACTTAAAGTGACAATGTCAATAAGATCTACATATATACATATAAAACTAAGAAAATAATAAATACAATTGCATGCATCTCTATTTCCTTCACTTGATTGGTCCTCCCCTTGATTAAAAAAAGCAATATGGCTTTTTGAACTTTGATCTGAAGACTGTTGATAAAGACCCATATACATAGATAAAGTTGCATCCATACATGGTAGGACTTGAGTTAGAAAGAAAATGTTGCCTCTTTTTTAAAGTTTTTTTTTACACTTTTTATGTTTACGATTCTACATGTAATTTCTCAAATATTTACGTAGAATTCAGAATCATGGACAAGTTTCAGATATTACAGGCTAACAATGAAACCAAACAAACTGCTCGTCGGTTTCAATTTGCTGTTTCCAAGCAATACAAGGCCTTGTCTATATAAAGCCTCAAACTCACTCGCTCCAGACATTTGAATTGATAAAAGCTTCCTGGAGGGGAATCGAAACATCTTCAAACCTTGGAAACCAAGTCCAGTGGATTGTTTTTAAACTTTTTTACGGGATTCACGTAGAATTATTTACAGATCAGGTCGTCATTGCTGTTGGATATTAATTGTGAAGCTTTACTGGCAGTAGAATGTGAGGACATTCTGTTGGTTTCCTCGTATTAGAACAGCAGGGCAGTGAAGGCCACAGGTCAGGGTGTCCAGCCAGGCCATGTAGAGAGCACTGGGACAGTCACTTTGAGGAACTGGAAGGCTCCTGGAAGGAGATAGCAATTGATGGGAAATAATAAAATCAGTGGTTTAAATATAGTATACTGTTAGTAGATTAGCTTAGTTAGCTGCACATGCTTATTTCAGCCGTTGCTATACACAATATGTTTATATTTTGTACTCACACTAGAACAAGAGCTGTGTGTTGTGAATTCTTCCGAATGATTTCATTCAGCCTTACTTTTCTCTCAGACTGTAAAATGAAAAAAGAAATACAGATGGCTGTTACATATTACCCAAAATATTGATATTTTACTAAGAATTTACTAAAATATTTTACTAAGAACTTTTCTTTTTTGTGAACAAATATCTAGCTAAACATACCTTGAGCTTAAAGGCCTCAAATTCTTTGTCAGATACTTTCCATGGAGCATTATGTCTGAGTTCTTGCACTGAGGCACCTTCCTGCTGCCCATCGTACAGCCTGAAGGGGGCGACACTGTCCACAAACCTGCTCCGGCTGGAATAAAGACAATAAAGTTTTTTTGAGAAGAACAAATACAGCTTCTAGGATTTGAAAGACGAAGAAAAAATACCTATAAAAGCTAAAAGGTATTTTTGAGTATCAATTTATTAGCATTTATCTGTTGTTTTGTTGATACCAGAAGCAACAATTTTATAAGCAACAGTTAAAGTGCCAAAAAGAAGTATATTGTACTGCCAAAAGTGTGTTTAACATACCATCTAAAAGTATTTCTGAGGAGAGTTGCAATTGTTTATAACTTTATTAAGAAAGAAAATCAAACGAACAAACTCGTGCCTGACAATAATGTCCTGTTTTTTTTATTTTTACAGTTTTCCCAAAATACCTTTTTTAATGCAGTTTTATAATTAGTTCAGATCAGTTTACTAATTGAGAACATTTTTAATCCTCCTTGAATGTTATCTTTCTGCAACAGTATGAAAAACAATCTGTCATTTTGTTTCTTTGAACTTTAAAATAACTAATTTAATTTACTTAAATCACATCAAATTTACAGAATTTATGCTTTTGGTGTAAAAAGTCTATAACTTAGATGAAGATGGTTCTGTTGTGACAAACATAAGTGTAAAAGAAACCTATTGCTAGGTCATCTTATTAAAAAGGCCCACTACATGACCCCTATCACTGTCTACATTAATTTAAAATTGTGTGAGATGTAGCTCAGTAATTGTTTTTTTGTTTTTTGTTTTTTTTTTCACATACTTCTTTGGGTGTGGCTGTTTCTCGATGTCTGTCATTACTATAACGTCACTAACATCCAACCGAAACCTCTTCAGCAGAGCCAACATCCTAAAATATGAAACAAGAAATGATGTCATTAGAATTCTACAGTTCAATTTTAATTTAAAAAAGCTGCAACAACTTGATTTTATCAAAAGTCTTAATAGGAAAAACCAATAATAACAAAACATTTTTTTGGAAGGAAAACCTACTCATTGCGACCTTCTTCCATGTTCTGCTCATCTCCAATGATGAAAACTCTGACTTTACATTTGTGCCAGCGTTTCCTCCTGGTGATCAAGTAGGGCACCAGCAAGGTCAGACCTTAAAGGAGAAAAGGTTGATTACAAAGGGTGGCAGTTTGTGGCACTGATCTAGAGAGCAGGATACACCATAAGAAAACACATTTAAAGTGGTTCTGACTTATGGTCATAGGATTGGCAAATTAACACATAAACATATTGATAAATTACAGCATTTTGTCATAAAAGCCATTAGCTTGATATCTTTTTAACCCATAACTTAAGTGTCGTCAGAAGTTATTTGTTGCAGAGGGGTTCATACACTTAACATGTATTTTATTTCAAATGATGATTAACACACACACAAAAAAACCTATAGAAATGTTTTTTTTTTTAAGCTACAGAGTATACCTACACTTTTTATTCTAGTAAGTTAGAGATCAGCTTTGTGCTTTTTGCTCTATAACTTTTTCAACTGTTGGATTTCTTCTTATGGAGGCGTTCTAATTACAATTTAACAGTTAAATTTAACACTGATCCATGTGCATTTGCTCCAACTCTGAATTGGTGTTAAATTAACTCTCAACATACTGTAAATCTTAGTCTGTGGTCGTAATAATTGTTAAAGAGTCAATGTACTTTGACAATGCATATTTAACAGTGTGTTAATGTGTAGAAATGTTCAAAACAAAATTATTTTAGGAACTTCTATAACCTTGTCAAACTTTTTTTTTTTTTTTTTTATAAAACCTGTTTTTCTCACCTCCATCATCTGCTATCCAGTAGACATCAATGGTCTTCTTTCCCTGGTCATTTTGAAACACTGTCTTGATCTGATCACTGCTGCCTTCATCAGACATATCATCAGCTGAAAACAAAAGACAAGAAGACATTTTAAGAGGAAGTTGTTCCATATTAGGTTATAAAATATAATACAAACAGCAGATGTTGGTGAGAGCAGTAGAAAGAGTCCCATGTAACAATGTCAGGTCCACTTTTTTTGGACTTTTTTGTCTGGACTTTCTGCTCTCCAGGGTGTGCAAGACATGTACTACAACACATGGCCTGTGCAGGCCAGATTTTATGACTGACTCACTTACAAATACTTCAAGCAAAGGTTGACACACAAAATAAAAAAAATAAAAAAAAGTTCGTTATTTTTTATATGTAACAATTTCTCACATTGGATAATTAACCCCTGGGAAACCTATGGTCACTAGATCACCTGTTAATATTTACTATATTATGCAATTAGTTTTTACCTCCTTTAACTTAGGCAATATCACCCCCATGAGGCCACATACCAGATGCTATGTACAAAAAAATTTGTAAATGTAAAAAAAAAAAAAAGAAAAATCCAAGAAGATGTCATTGTGGACACACAGCTACAATTGTCTTAAAATAATATCTAACCCAAATTCCCACCATATATATTGGTATACATAAAAATTAGCAGCTGTTAACAGTTAACAACTCAAACTAAAACAAAGGAGCTAAAAACCATTTTGCCTTTACCTGTAAACCTAATCTGTAATGTGATTTGCAACTTTTTGCTTAAATATTAAGGATCATAAAAAGATGTTGAGTTTAAACGGATTACATTAAAAAACAGCCAAAATATATTTAAATGGACACATAATATAGTAAACTTAAAGTGCCATGTTTATACAAAATAATGCTTTATTTATAATGAATAAACTTGAGTTTAAAGGTATGAGTACAGGTAACGACACCATGGATCTGGCAGCAACAGCTACAAAATCTTTACAGTAAACTCTAGAGAGGTAGAACATATCCTTCTAAAACAATCCACTAATTGAATGTGACTGCATCACATTCTGTCTGGCTCTGACTGTATCACTGGTTGCTAATGATTTATTTAGAGTTTGCTTCATTTTGCTTCATATCAGAAAGAACAATCTCAGTGGAATCATATATTTAGCTAATTAGTCTCCTACCTGTATCCTCCTCATTGGTTTGCTGGTCCTGGTTTTCCACATTTTCATCCGGCTCAAAGCCCTGGTTCACTGGGGGGTTTAAATGACACGGTCATATTGAGGTTTGATTTAAATCAATACTATATTGCTGTTATCTTGTTAAATTCTAAGAAAATAAAACATATTTATTAAGTAAAAACCTTCAAACTCTAAATTATCTGAGATATCCAGTCCATCCATCATCCTCAGGATGCACAAACAGTAGTTAGAATCAAATGTATCACTGTAATGATAGAAAACGGACAAAAAAAGTTTAGTAGAGATATAAACAGAAAGTAATAACATATTCCAAACTAATATCTATGATATTTGCTGTAGGATTAAAATATATTTATATTTCATCATCTTACTAAATGGTGCTGATATAATCTTCAATGCTTTCAGGAGCACTGTCCCTCCAATTTGTCTTGAAACCCAGAACCAGCGTGTTAGGCTTTAGTTTACCCAAACCAGAAGCCTATAAAGGATGAGGGGAAATGTAAAAAGAAAAAAACGTAAAATCATTAAAAGGGATCCAAACCTAATGCTACAGAATATGATACTGCAAAATGCAAAATAAAGCTCTTTGATGAGACTATAATTAAATAAACTAATAAGATTAAAGCACTTTGCTTTGAAGATCCTGTTTCTTGAACTTAAGTCATATCCTTTTTGGTTTAAGTCTCCGTAAATAATTACATTTATCTAAATCTTGAGAAGCAACAAAAAAATAAAAAAACAACATAAAAGCATCCGGCCTTACCAAAGAAATTTACACATTGGGGGTTTCCTCTCTTTTCAAAGTGCTAATACATTTAGTTACATAGTTACTTTCATACTTGTGCTATACGTACTTGGAAATTGATGAGAAAGCAATCCGTATTGTACCTGTAACAGTTGTTTAGATCCAGCCCTGAGGTTGTCAGCAGATAGAGGGGTGTAGAATGACCGGACCTTCCTCTTATTCATCCACTTCACCAAGCTGTCTGTAGCATCCTGAGGTCGCGTCTTCCTGTCCTGCTCCTACAAAAGGCAGGAAAGGAACTTTTTTTTAGAGAAATAAAAGTTATAATGAAGGACGATAGCAACCAAAATCTAAGTTCATCTGTCACAGTGTTTAAAAGCAGGTCTCATCGTTCTGATTATTGGTATATAACTCATGAACAGAGCTCCTACCAGTATGATATCTCCACAGATCATCAGACTTATGTGCTTAGTGAAGGAGCCCACAAAGTCCACCAGTGCAGGTCGCTGGTTTGGGGGCCCAGTCAGTACAAGGCACTGTGGTCTGGAAGAGGATAGGGGAAAGAAAAAGATGTGAATAAGCAAATATTAGATCCAGGATGCTAATAACAATCTTTAATCAAACTCTTATATTTTCATTTTAAGTTCAAGGAAAAAGAACTGGAAAATACAATTATCATTCAGTGGTTTCCTATAAAAGACAAGCTTCTTGGACACCTTCTTCAAACTCTATTTTGCATTCAAGTCTCCTTGCTACAAAGACAGAAACCTATTGCATCAAAGAAGCAAAACAAGCTTAAACATTTTGCACATTCTATGAGAAAAATCAGATTCCATTAACTGACTCATTGTTTATGTAATTTATATTGAAATGACTTATTCATTTAGAATTATTTGTTTATTTTCTAAAGATATTATATAAAATATTTAGTGACCGACAGGAACTTGGCACTTTGGGCAACGTGACCAAAAATCACCACAGAGATAGAATGCTCTTTATAGAGTATTCAAGCTTTTGGCCCCCATGGTTTCTGAAGCCTCCTTTTTTCCATATTTCGGGCCAAATTGTTCTACTCAACTTTATATTTTGCAGTTGGTGCTGAAAGAATAAAAATCTAATCTGACCATCTACATTATGCAAATCTCTAAGAAGCAATTGCCATTTAGTGTAGAAAAGATTTTATTTGAACTTGGTGAATTGCTAGTAAACCAGATGCTGGGTGATATGATGAATAGTATAACCATAAAAAGTTGTGGAATTTTAAAATTTAAAATGAGAAACATTAAAAGATCTTAAAAAGCCCTAAAAAGGTTAAAATCAATGTATGAACAAAAGATTGTAATGATCATTGATTGATGGAGATATATCTAAAGTCTGCTTTGTTCTTTTCCTGCAGCTGTTTAAGAATAAAGATGACTCACCTGAAATTTTTCACATGGTCCTCCACGCCTGTCAGAGAGACTGAGTACGACAAGGCCATGTTGTATGTACCAGCCTGGACTGATGAACCCCAGTTTACCTCTGTAGAGGGGAGAAAATATTTTGCCGCATGAAAGGCGATTTCTTACTCTAATTCATGCTTTAATTTAAAGTAGTGTTGCGCCGATGCCATATTTTGGCCCCAATACCCGATACCTGGCCGTGCAGTACCTTACCGATACAATCTGTTTGAAATTGATGTGTGTGTATATATGAAGAACTGCATACTACTTGGATGCAAAATAATTGCCATCATAGCTTTGTCAAGTTGCTACCTACCTTTGTGAAGCAGGAAAAAGACTAATAAAAAGTGAATCCAGTAGAACTTTTTATTGCCTACCTGGAATGTGTGACAATAGTTGAATAAACTTTTTGCTCTCAAAATGGTATCGATGCCCTATTTGTTGGTACTCGCCAATACCGATACCTGCATTTTAGTGCTGGATCGGGGCCCCACCCGATACTGGTATGGGTGCAACACTAATTAAAAGCATACTGAGTTAATGCTCTATGAACTCACTCGGTTTGTTGTAGTTGACATATCCAAAAAGGAGGAAGATGATGCAGAAGGTGACGAGAGCCGCCCACCAGGTAAACAGGAACATCAGAACCACAGATATCACAGCTCCAAACAAAGCGGTCCATTTGCTGTAGTAGTGAAATGATGGCCTCCAGCCTAAAAATAATAAAAAAAAAAAAACAATGCTTCTTTTCCCCCAAAGTTATTGACCTTATATGAGAAGCTGAAGGTCTGTCTTAAAGGACTGGCCATATAAACACAGGGGTTCTGAAATCTCTTCATCAAAAGTACCTTGTTCCTGCCAAATCTATTGTGTGGACAGGGATACTATTCCTACATTAAACCCGTAGATTTATAGATAGGACAATGTGGGATATTTGTTCTAAATTAAAACATCGTTTTCATTACCATTCTATTCATTTTTTTTTTTTCATATATACATATTGTGCTAATTCCCCACATATGCGATCATATGAGACAGTTCAGTCAGATCATATAGTCAAAAAAGTTAAAAGCCAGGCATACACTGTGTGCCCTTTTTGGGATGATTATTTAGGTGTATTTTGGATCAGACTGAGTTTCCCCATGCATCCTGCAACAAAGGTCCAATAGCCTTTCACGACCACAACCCAGAATATTACCGTTAGATGAAAATAAAATAGTTTAGGTAATTATGTTTGAATTACTGTTGAAGCAGAGCTACTAGCCAGGTTTTATATATATATTTAAAGGCTACATTTGTTCACATATTGTGTTTTTCTTTATTTTGATATTTTTGATAAAAATGAAATCTTACAAATCTCTGTTAGAAGAATATATTTTGTTGGATATTTTCAGTGATATAGCAATAGGTGTGAGCCTGCTTCCTGTGAATAAAACCTTTATTTTTATATTGGTGATAAAAGGATAAAGAAAAAAAGTAAATAAACAAACATTAGAAAACTCCTATACGAGAAAAATAACTTTAGTTCTCTAATTTGAGTACGATTTATAACTCTTTGAGGCTCTGATCAGGTGTTTTATTTATTTTTTTAAATTCTGACTTTTAATTTTTTTTTTTTAGAAAGCCGCTCCTACATATACAATCCATATTTCAAATAAATTTCCTATTGACATTGTCTCTATTGTAATCTAGATATCAACACTAGGGACATGACGGTCAGTTTAGCTGGCTTCTCTAAATTGTCCTTAGGTGTGAGTGTGTGTGTGTGCATGGATGTATGTATCTGTGTTGCCCTGCGACTGACTATTGACCTGCACAGGGTGTACCCCGGCTCTCGCCCATTGCCTGCCAGAGATACTGTAGGTACTGGCCCCACCATAAGCCTGATTGATGAAGCGGGAGAAAATGGATGGATGGATATAAACACTCCTCCCTTCAGAAATAACCCTTTTTTTCTATATATTACCATTGAGAGTTTGTTATTGATTTAATAAATCTGTATCTAGTAATAAACATAATGATTAATAAGTATATAATAACACAAGTTTACATTTTAAAATTCATGAATAGAAATCAAAAAGTATACATATCATAAGAAAGATAGAAATGGTAAGTAACTCACCGGGGGAATTGGTGATGGATGCATGAAAACAGCTGAAGTTTATAAGGCAGTAAGAACATAGGAAGAAATTTGAGATAAGAGCTGCAATGGTATTCAGCTCAGCTGTTGTGGTACATGGGGGAAAGAAAAGACACAAGGTAAGAGTCAACTTGTACTGTTAACCTGTGTGAAAGTGCAAGAAACCAAATTCAATATGATTCAGAATTTCAAAAATATAGTGTCTCAGACTCACCAATAAGAATGAAGGCTATAGCAATAACATAGCAGAGCATATAAGCTCGAAGTGGTTCGTTGTTTTTCCCATAACCTTTGGCAAAGAATATGATGTAGGGGTATATTTTGTCATTGCAGAGACACTGAAAAGAAAGATAGAAAAATCTTTTTCAGAAGAGTACACATAGGTGAAAAAAAATGTTCAGCCCTTTCTTTTGAGAATTTTAACTTGAGATGTTTTCTCACCTGAAATACTTTTGGTGCAGAGACAAGAAAACCTAAGGCAGAAGATAAACTGGCTGCAAAGACACCAGCAGTAATGAGGTAGTAGAAACCAGACACCTGTCCAAGTACCTGGTTGAAATATTTGTAATTAGAATATTTGAAAAAAATAAATAAAAAAGGCAATGATTTTAAACACCACCTGCAAAAACAAAACAAAACTATCGATATGTTTTAACACAATAGTTTCAACCAATACCTTTACACTGTTAGCGAGCCCATATTTACAGGACTGGGACTGGATACAGTCTGTGAAGTTCCAGCCCATATTACATGCCAGTCCCACACAGCCATCTGTATTGTTTCCTAGCAAGATGTGACTGCCATTCCCAGAGGCATCCCGTACGACACATGATCCTAGAAAGAAATTAAGATTCTTAGGCTCAGCTCTCATTATCTCATTATCCCGAAGATTGCTTACTCACTCCTTCCTGCTACTGGAAAGTTAATCCCATAATGTATTGCAAATTTGTTATATTTAATTAACATTTCAAACAAGTTTAAAGTTTAATGAAGGACAACTACAACTGCAAAACTTAAAAATTAATTTAAATATTTAACAAGCCAAATCAATGTCTAGTAATCATCAAGCCTGATTCATAATTAAATTAACCCACCAACAGTTACTGCTATCCCCAGGTAACTGACTGTTGTCCAAAAAATAGCCATCAAGGTACCCTTTGGGATAGCTGTTGCAGGGTCCTACAAAAAAGAGAAGTCAATTATAACCTGGCATTATGACAATTTGGTCTTTCTCCGCATTGTGTCAAGCGTCACACCTTTAGATCTCCAGAGATGTTGGCTCCAGACAAAATGCCAATGGCAGCAGGAAAGAATATGGAAAACATTCGGAAAAAAACCGGCATCAGGACCTCGCCAGTTTGGAGTGAGGTTCTCGACAAAAATGTCACCTAAACAGAGGGTTAAAATAGAGTTTAAGTAACATAAAGGTCTCAGGATGTTGAAGAATTATTTCTTTTTTATTTTATTTTCTGTTTTAGATAACTGTAATATCTTCTCATGTCTTTATCTGTACACTTTCTGTGTAAGACGACCAATTTGACATGGTTATGTTTAGATATGAGGACTTTTAGAGAGGCTCTAGCATCACCTTATATGGTAATGCTGGGATGCTACGTAAGAAAGGCTGGATGCTGACTGGAGGCTTTGGGTGAGGCACCACCTGGCTGACCTTTAGATAAACTGAAAAGCATGAAGAAGCTCTCTGCCATTTTGCTGGTTCCTCAGTAAATGGACAAAATGTAAAAAGGCCTTATATAGAAAGTGAGATCTTCCTCTGCAATTTGTGATTTTAATTATAATTTGCAATGATTTTGTTATACATGACTTGAATAAATTATGTTAATACTTAAACATGTTTCCTTCTTCGTGTACACTATCTGAGAAACTGTCGCTACAAGCATGCTTAGTGTAAAGGATTGCATCCGAGTCAATGAGTCGATGCAATCAACCGGGGTCGATCAAATGTTGATTGAACAAGGCAATGGGGTTTGTCTGACTTTATGGCAGAATTGCCTTTTAAACTACTACATAGACTTAGGTCGAATGTATTCAGCATCTTTCAAAAAGATTTCCACAAGCTTAAGTAAGTTTAGCCCATTCATCATCCCAGATCTAGTACCAACATGAGGTTTGTATGTGACACTGCCAATTAAATTTGTGATGGAAAAGAGTACTATACCTCGATATCCAAAGATGCCAACAGCCTGCTTCTCAATGCTTGGAGGTATTAATGTCCCCACAAAGTAGTTTGCAAAGGAAATCAAAAGTACTAAGAAGAACAAAATCTGGGTCTGAAAACAACACAAATGAAAACATAGGGGGAGTTTAATAAATGGCATTGCATCACTAAAAAAAATACTAATATTTTGTGTCCTGTGTTGGAATTTTCAATGAATATGCACACCTTGGACTCCCACTCCATCCCTGCCATTGAAATAAGGAGAAGAACCGTGATAGTGAGCACACCCACAATACGGACATCATTGACTGGATCCACCATCGTGGCGTCAAATTCCTAAATTAAGTGAAAACATAAAAACAGGAAACTCACTATACTCTCATTTGAAGTGGTTACATGATCAGCATTAATGTATAATTTGTTTTCTTTTGTAGCAAAACAAAACTGATTTAGGTTAGAATAGATATAGGTACCTGCATCAAATCACGGACCACCTCTGCAAAACCAACAGTGTTGAGAGCACAGGCCAGAGCATTTGCAAAGGAGAAAACCATACCGATTGGTCCTCCAATTTCAGGACCCAATGTACGGGAGATCATGAAATAAGCACCTCCTGCAAAATGTTAAACACAAGAACAAGATTATTTTCATGAAAAACTACAAAAGAACACCTTAGCAAATTTTATTTTTAAAATACTGTACATGAACAAAACATGATAGGAAAACACACATTGGAAAGTATATTACATTTGCATAGTAATACAGAAACGCATTCAGATATCAAACTAGGTAGTAATACTAATCATGCTTTGTCAGGGGTCTTTAGGATCCTTATTTTTAGGATTTTAATTTTGTGTGAACAGACAGCAAAGGAAAGGTGGGCGGCCAACTTTTTTTCAAGATTTTTAGAAGGGTAACAAGGTATTTCTGAGTTTTGAATATCTGTCTCTCCTTGTAAAGAGTCGAGTCTGAATGTTGCTCTTTGATATTCGCAGGCCTCCTAAGTACAAAACACACCTTTTCAGAGATTTTATAAACCTTTATCTGTAATATCTGTTTTATGATGGTTTAATTATCATCAGAGACTTCAACATTCACATTGAAAATTCTGAAAATGGAAGTGAAATATCATGTATTACTCTTTGAAACGTTGGTTTAACTCAGTGGTTCTCAAACTTTTTCTGTCATTCCCCACTTTGGACAAGGGGGAATTTTCAAGCCCCGCCTGTCCCCATCGCCCCAACACAATGCTAATGAAATATTCAACAATCTTAAAATGTTCCAATTTTATTGAAGTAACAAGTAGTATCTAAATACAAATCTACATCAAATAACAGCAAGCTCAAAAATAAAGAAAATAAAAATGCAGCTGTGTCAAAATTTGTATCAAGCTCAAAGATAGAAAAAATTAAAGTGCCACTCTGCAATCTGTTAATAAAAGAAAAGAAGTGAAATCCATCTGGCAAGACAGGTCTATTTATCCCTGCATTAGTGGCTGCAATGAGCCTGTTTTGCATTGCAGTTTCTCAAAACGGGGTTGCAGGCTTGATACTGCCACTCTCAAGTCATGCTCAATGTTCTGCTGAGATCTGTATTTTGTTTTCATTGAAGCAGCAGCTGAAAAGCCCATCTCACAGAGATATGATGTGGCAAAGGGAAGAAGAATGCACACAGCTCTCTGCCCGATGAGTGGATACTCGCTCTCCACTCCAAACCAGAAACATGAACATGCTGCTGTGTGAATCAAACGCCGTTATTTATTTAAGATAAAATATTTCAAATTCAGTTATTTATGATCAACCTGCGCCGTCAATCCCGGCGCATGTGCGCTTTATTTGCAGTCTGGACGCAAAAGTTAAACATGCTGTGTCTCTGCTCTGACTGCAGCGCTGATAGGGACTCCTGCAATAGCGGGGGAGAACGGGGTTGGGACGGGGGAGGCGCCCCACGGCAGCACCTGCCGCTGGAGGACAAGAAAAGGAACGATACGTGCTTTCACGTAAGAGTCTCCAAAAGGCGCTAGATTTGTTTTTTTGAAAAAGAGTCGCTGGAGGGGTCTGAAATATAGCGACAAAGTCGCTGAGTTGGCAACACTGGGGAGCGAAAGTTTATTCTGTTACAAATAATATGCCGACGTCACGTCAATCATTATTTTGGCACTTCAGTTCCAGGGGAAATTTTTCTCATATCTAATGTTCTTTTAATTAGACTGCATGTAGGCTAGTAATGATTACTTTGTGGGTTTGATTGGTCTAAAAAGCGGCAACATACAGCTATAAGGACAGTTTGCTCTCACACATTCTACATTTATAGTCACACACACACACACACACACCGGAACTTGGCGCGCCCCACCTGTCACGTCTCAATTCCCCACCAGTGGGTCGCGCCACACACTTTGAGAACCGCGGGTTTAACTCAATATGTGTTTCTGTGGCATATTGACATTGGACAACCCTCCCTAGATTCATGATAAAGCTCTTACTGTTTATCTCATGAAAGGTAAAGGAATAAGAACAGCAGCTACAATTTGCCGTATTTGGATCGAGCCTTTGTCTGTTGACTAGAGAGGTAGCTTAGCTGTCTGATTTAGGTCTATGGTTCATGGGAAAGAGCCAAATTCGTGAAATTCATAACGACTCTTAAGATAAAGAGTGAAGTTTGTCAGAGGCCACTATGTTAAGTGCTGTCCAAAAAGCGCTGAGGGGGGAAGGAAATGAAGCAGGTCGCTTCCTATCAATAGTTTTATTAGCACAGGGACCCTTTGGCACTTAGGAGATTGACAGACTAGGGTTGTCACAATACTAAACTTTTCAACTCGATACCGATACTAAGGAAAATATTTGATACTCGATACCATTTTCGATACCACAAGGATAAAAACTCAAAATTTCAACAGAAATATTTTGATTAATAATTAAAATACAATAAATAAATAAATACCATAAACAATAAGAACAACATTTTGAGGTTGTTTGCTGTGCACAGTATTAAGCAAGCTTGATAAAAAAACATAAAAAATTAAAATTAAGTTTTCCTTCCTTGGCTATGCTTTGCACACATAACAATGACACTAGCCAAACCGGTTAAGAAACAAAAATAATTCTCAGCAGCTGCACCTGTTACATAAAAAGTCTGAAACTGGAAAGTGCGTAGAATTATTCAATCACACAGTGTTATGAAAGTGCATTTCCTCTATTCTGCACTTTAGATGAATGACTGCTTAGGTGCCACTGGTGGTAGCACCATATCGATACTTTTGAAAATGAGTATTGTATCCGGATACAACGTTTCAGTATCGATACTTTTTTAATATCAATACTTTTGACAACCCTAAGACAGACTCCCACCTTCCTTTGAATGAAAGAATACGTAGGCAAATCCTAACTCACAGAAATTAAGCAGTATTTGGATTGAGAGTAAAAGCCTCTGAGCACTAGCCCTGTATGATTTGAGCTTAAGATAACTTGTTTAAAATCACCTGTTTAGGTGAAGAGGGTGAAGGACAAGTAGACATGTCTTGTTTTTTTTTTTTGCTGGAGCCATTTTCTGTAAATCATACACTTTTCTATCTCTTTTGAAAAAGAAAATGTCCATGTCAGTTTTACTTAAAAATTTCTCTTTTGGATACAAGAAAGCTATTAAAATTATTTATCATTAAGATACCCTGGAAAGTAAGGCCATAAAATGTTATCATAACATGACAATATACTGATTTTTGCTAATACTTTTATGAGCCTCATAATTACCATAGCAAGCAATATTCTCAATTGGCAATAGAATAAATAAATATTTACATTTTGTAACCTTTCTAAAATATTGTTGTTGTCTTTTTTTTCCCCCAAAAATTATTTTTCTGCCTAAATCGTCTCCTTATGATTCTAAATGCTTGCAAAAACCAAATCACCAGCTGATTGAATCATGCATTTCCACCCTTGCTTTATTTTTGTGTGTGTGTGTGTGTGTGTGTGTGTGTGTGTGTGTGTTTTTATTAGGTCTACTGAAAAACAAAAAAACAATTTTTTGAGAGTGTGACAAATTCTGACTTAACAAATTGACTTACCTGAAACCACCCTCCCATTGGTGGCAATTGCAGAGATTGATAGTGCAGTCACATTGGTCACCACCACAGACATAAGGATTATCACACATGTCAACACTGTTATGAAATGAAAACATAAATTAGTTATAAACACCAGATGGAAAATAATAATACATTTTCATTTGTAATTTATTCTTTTTTGCCTATCCATTCCAAAGCTTTGTGTATTGAAATATATATTGAGAATATTCTGTAAAAGAACTAATGCATATTTTCCAACTCACTAAAATTTAAACTATTGTTTTTCTGTTCAGATACTCATACTGAATACACTGAAAAAAAATGGTTTATTAAACAATGTAATTTTACCATGGTGTTTTGAAAAGTTTCTGTCAGAGAGTCACTAAAATTATCATTATAAAAACAAAAATAAAACAAAATAAATATTAAATCTATGAGATAAGAGGGAATATATGAGGTGCAGGATATGCTATAATGTAAAGTCAAAAACGCTGATGTGAACTGAGTGTATTATGAGAGGTTGGAAGGGCTGACTCACCAATGCCTGCCTGAGAGGTGATCCATGACAAACGGAGGAACAGGATGACTCCCCAAATATTCAGCATGCAACGAACCTATACCAAAATACCAATGGATGCAGCTGTTTGATATTGGAATGTTGCGTGATGTTTAAAATTAATTTCGCTCACAGTGAATTGAATCCACAGTTAGGATTAAACTCTTACCATGACCCCGACTATCCAGCCAAATCTAACTGGAGCTTTGATGTTTGGATCTTGAGAATCTTCATTTCCCATATCTGGTCCTGGCAGGCTGCCCGAGTCAGAAGTGGAGGCTCCGTCCATTCCAATCTCCACTACCTTCAATGGAGCAGTGGGTTCAGTTCAAATCGGTGAAAATTGGTGATTTAATGTAATAATTTGTTTCAAAAAACAGTATTTGAATTTGAAGTTCTTTAAAACAATGTGGACTAATCAACACTTAATCATTAAAATTAAGTGTTTATTGGAAATGAAGCTTCATAATTTAGAATGATATTTTGTCTTGAAGGGGTAAATAATTTTTGCAGTGATATTACTTTATTTTTTTTTCACCTTTTTCAATACTTGATGGTGACCTGATTATCTAAATATTCAATACTTAATTCCCAACTAATAATCGGGATCTCTCTGAGTGTCTGGATAGGGTTGCCTAAGCTTGACATTCCTTTAACCTTAGAATTTAAAATAATCTTATTAATTTCAGTCTTGTTGAATTTAATCCTTGGACTCGGAGGACCTAACTCTCGGCTGGTTAACACTTGGCTGTGAACTTCGCCAGGTCATGCTGTAGGTTTTGGCATGAAGAAGCCACATCATCTGCAAAAAAGCAGAGATGAGATCTATTTGTCCTTGAACCAGACAGTCTCCAGCCCTTGGCTGCACCTGGAAGTCATGTCTATAAAGGTTATTAACAGGAGCAGTTCATTTCAGGGCTACATAGGTTAGCCAACATACATCAGGAACAGGCTCGACTTTACACCATCAATGCGGACCAACCTCGTGCTCCACTTTCAGAGAAAGCAGATGGCCCCTAGTTAAGGCCCCTCAACTCAACTCCTTAAGCACTCCTCGAAGGGCACCATGAGGAACATGGTTAACTGCCCTCTCCAGGTCCACAGAACACATGTGGACTGGATCGGCAAGCTCCCAAGCACCCTTAAGTATTATGCAGAGAGTATAGAGTGGGCCACTGTTCCATGGCCAGAAAAAAACCTCCTGAAGCGGAGGTTCGACAAACAACTGGAGTCTCCACTCCACCACCCTGATATAAGCGTTCTTGGGGAGGGTGAGAACTGTGATCCCCCAGTTGATGGTACACACCCTCCAGTCCCCATTTTTACCGACATAACCACCAAGCCATTCTGCCAATCCAGGGGCAATGTCCTCAACCTCAATCCGTGTTGAAAAGGAATGTTCACTGAGGAAATAACAGTGCTCAAGTCGAATATTGTACACCCGTAAAGCCTTGCTGTTGTGGAGCTTTTTTACCACTTCCGTGACTTCATCCTTAGTGACGAACGGGACCTGAACCCCTCGTCTCTTCTTGCAACACGGAAAGGTGTGTCAGCCAGATTGAGGAAATTCTCAAATTATTCCTTCCACTGTCTGCTTATGTTCTCTTTCAGGGTCAGCAGCTCTCCAAAGAATGTGAGCAAAACACCACTTTCCCCTCTGGAGACACCACTCAGTTTGCTAGAAACACTCCAAGGCCTCCCCAAACCCTTCCCAGGCCAGTTAATGCCTCCACAAAATCTTGGGAAGCAGCATGCTTGGACTCATGATGCGGTACCTGCTTACTACTGTACCTCAGGAGTCCCACACACCAGCCAGGCTCGATAGGACTCCTTCTTCAGCTTGAAAGCATCCCTTACTGCCATTGTCTACCATCGGTTTCTAGGATTGCCCCCACAACGTTGAATTGAATTGGATCTAATATAACTGATTTGAAAGCTCTAACAAATTTTAAGATTCTAATTGTTATTTAATGAGTTGGATATTTTAAAGGTATAGTGGAGGATATTCTTTTCCCAGATGGATCACCAAAATAAGTGGTCCTTCTCATTGTCAATCATTCTGGTGATATATTTACGTAAGCCCGTCCTATGTGCTCGTCTCCAGTTAGCTATGTTTTTCTGCGTCTGCGCACTTTCAGGTGTATATGAGCTACGGAGGCACAGGGTTGTGCATGTGCTTTTTCTTTTTTAAGTGGAGAGGGTGTCCTGTTGTCCAGGCTCTTGGATGTAGTCAGTGTAAAGTTCCGCATTCCTCCTGGTACCATGTTTTGTCTCTGTTCTTCTCAACCACTGAGCCTGCCTGTCTCCATTCGAGCATGTCTGCCTGGTCCTGCTGCTGGAGTCGTTGAGCTCTGAACCTGCCTGAACACTCCATGGATTCCTGGAACCCTTGATCTGTCCGTTCCTGTTCGGATCTGAAATCCGGGTCAGGCTATGGACTCCTGGATCTAAGAACCATGCTTGTTCTGAACTGTTTCCCTGACCAGGCTCGGACTTCTGCCTGCTCACTGGGGTTGATGCTACTGGGACACTATGGGGCAGCTTCGTGACTCGTTTGGCAGTCCATCGGCTGGATCCTGTCTTCCTCGGTGAGGATGGACTTAAATATTAAAACATAACTCACACACATAATCATCTTCCATTAGATTATCATGGCCACTGTATATCTTCCTGAACCAGAGTGACAGTGATGGGTTGTGCACCACCTCCTCCCGCAGCCGTAGCGTATCCACAGATCTACAGCAGCTCGCTTCTGTTCTGTTTGTTTGTTTGATTGAACATTTTGAAACTTCCCACTGTCTGTCTTGCCTGAATACTGGGTCCTTCATTATGGTTTCCTGACTCCTCCGTAATCAAGGTACCTGTTACATCACCATGTAGAAATACAAGGTCACCATAAAATCTCACTGATTTCACTGAAATGTGGATGTTTTATCTTTCAGTTTTTATAATAGCTTTATATTATTTTCAATTACTGATCTTGTACAGAATATCTGCAATAAAAAATGTTTAGAAAACATTTTTTATAAGTAGAAGACACAGAGTACAAAGAGAAAAGTGTACAGAAGGCTACAGAGCATGTTTCTATGAGTCAGCTCCACCCCCTAAGTTGTGTGAAGTGTCAACATATTCTCAGAAATGATATTTTCTTGCCCCCATAGACATACAACTTCTCCATGTTAATAACAAGGGGTTCTCAGACAAATGTAGTCACGGTTCTATTTGGTTTGGGACCAATGATCTTATCAAAGTAAAAAAAAAAGTATGTATATTTTATAGTGATCAAAAGGACTCCACAGACCACCGAGGAACAAAACACGTACACAGGATATGAAGAAATAACTTTAGGCATAGTTTGTTATAGATAAGGAAGAGTGATTAAATATGAAGCCCTTTAAAGTATGTCAAACATTCATTTACAGAAGTGAATAGGGTCAAACTGACCCTAAAGATAATATGAAGGTAAGGTAATGTTAGTAGTGGGTCAATAAAAGGATGTTTTTGTGGCATTTATGTAGATTTAACAGCAGTATGTACATACTGAAATATGGCAGTTTTATTTTAATGTTCATCAAACATGATATATTTGTAATGTTATGAAATGTAAACTATTATGAAAGGATAAAGCAACACATATTCCTAATAAAGCCTTTTTAAGTTATATACTGATACTGAAAAAAATGCCAGCGACTAAACATCTATGATAATATATATTTATTTGGTCTTCACTGATTTTAAAAGAAAAAAAATCTATTTATATTAGTTTTGTAGAAAATAAATGAAATAAAAAGGGAAAAAAAAAAACTGAAAATTACCTCAAATGTTTTGCGGAGTGTTTCAAGAGATGGCCTGCTCCTCATCATTTGACGGGGTAAAGAATTGGCATAATGCTCCAGTTGGGGTACCAGGTCCATAGTGCTGTAAACAGAGGATCGACGCAGCTCTGCCCTCGAGCCTCGACGCTCTGATGTACTGAAAGTTGTTGGAATGTAGCAATAGTGTTACATCAAAAGATAAACCAGATTGTAAAAATCAGATCAATAAATAGAAATAACTACAATGAATGCTTGGACCTTACCAAGATGTATAGATATTTATACTGTCGAAAGTTATTTTTATTTATTGTGATTTCGAAAGCATGGAATTTCAAAACATATATATATATATATATATATATATATATATATATATATATATATATATATATATATATATATATATATATATATATATGTATGTATATGACCAAACCTTTACATATAAATTTCAAAAAGCCAAATGAACATCAATTCGCTTACTTTCTGAGTGTAAATCAAGTTTAATGCTTCCTGAAGATCAGTTAGGATTACCTGTTTTATTGTACTTGCTAACTGCTAGAGTAATAACAAAGATGTCACAACTTTCTTGAGAGGCTTTCTCTTTAAAACAAATCTGTGTAATCTTTAGACCCTAGGGGAGCCAAACCTGTAACTTCCAGGTTAGGCCGTTGACAATGTTGCCAGTTGCCAAATTAAACATTGTGTTTTAGAAGCAGTTTTTTTCATAAAAAAAAAAAAAAAAGCAAACACAATGTTTAAATTCAGGGTGGCTGGACACTCCCATAGAGATAGGTTCAGGAGCTCAGTCATTCAAGGGGGGCTTGGAGTAGAATCGCTTCTCCTCCACATCGAGAGGATTCAGCTAAGGAGGCTTGGATATCTTGGATGCCCTCTGGACGCCTCACTCAGGAGGCGTTCCAGCAATGTCCAACCTGGCCAAGGCCTAGGGGATGACCCAGGACACTGCATTGGCCATGTCTCTAGGCTGGCCTGGGAGCGCCTGGAGCTTCCCCAAGCAGAGCTGGAGGAGGTTTCTGGGGAGATGGAAGTCTGTGACTCTCCGAGACTGCTACATTCGTGACACGGTTTTAGATAAAGCAGAAGACGACGGGTACAAGTTTAAGGATCCTATCACAGACCACTTTGAACCAGCAAAGAAGAGTAAAAAGTCATGATAAAATCCTTACATCCTTCATCTGAGAACAAACAGTATGTTTGATTAGATAAGGGTCATATTAATTTTATAGCCAAACAAGCACTTTTAGACAGGCGGATCTGATGTTCAAGGGAAACTTTTTTAACTAAGTAGCCCACTCAGAGTATATATAGAAATGAAGTGTTGTACACAGGCCTGAAAACGCTTTAATTTTAAAATCCTCAGTTTAAATTAATAATTGTGTCAAAATTTACACAGTGTTGCTTTAAATGATTGCTTCTTAAAGTCTTTAATTCAGTCAACTGTTCTGTGTATCCAGAGGCTTCTCACAATAGTCCTTCTGAGCTCTACCCACATTTTCTACTGGCTTAAGATCAGGGCTTTGTGATGACTTTTCTTGTAGATGAGTAACTTCCATGTTGATGTCTATCGTTGTAATGTTATTTATTTTGAAAGGCACACACTCCCCACTACAGCTGATGATGGTGAAATTACAGAGCTTTACAGCCAAGATGATTTTAGAAAGTTTGCTTTTCTTTAATCTAAAGATAAAAAACAAATTTTGGCCAACATATCAGTTTAAATCAAACTACAAGATATATCTCTATTAAAATTGGCAATTTTTCTTTAGTTGACTGCAAACTGGCAAAAAGGATGGTCTTTAAGTCTTTTTTAGCACCATAAAACTTTTAAACCAAACTCTGCTGGCCTCAGGTGGTGTTATGCTTTCATTTTAGGATTGATGGGAAATACGAGCCTCTGACGGATCAAAATAATGGAAACAATTCCCAAAACACTGTCAACTGTTTCTCTGATATAAAGAAAAAAAAAAACCACATAGTGTTTTAGCAAGACAATTATATGCATATCTATAGTGTGTGTGTCTCTGTGTGTGTGTATGAGTGTGTAGACTTGTTCATGGCTGTATTAATTAATTGATTAATTAATTTAAAGACCACCATCTTGGGGAGATGACTGAATAATTATCTAATAAAACTATAATATCTTTTTTCTGTCAATTGATCCTATAGCTTTCCCATAAATGTCTTTTTGAAAGGAAAAAAATAAGTAAAGGAAAGCGCCTACCTTGATTCCTCATCTGAGACGACGATGGTTGGAGGAATTTGAAGCCCATGATTGCGGTGTACAGTGCTGCCATCAAAGTGGTGTGGAGAGTACCTGGGAGGCCCCTCCTCATTGGTGGAAAAGTGCACACCTCGGCCCAGAATTTTACGTTTAGATGCAAACAGCCCCATCAGGACGTTCTGGTGGCTCCTTTGAAGTCCGACAGAGGAATACTTATCATTGTTCAACTAGTTCATACTAAACCAGTGTTTAGTTTTTAATTACTTTTCCTTCTCTGTTCGATGTTTGAAGGCCAAAGCCACAGTTATTAACATAAGCTTAGAAATCCTTAAAACTCATGAGTCTTAAAGTATACATTTGTTTAAGACATAATCACTAACTATTACTGTTGATACCTATCTTTGGAGAGGAGCCTTAAGGGAACCGAACTAATGTTGTTTTTTGCTGTTATTATAAATAACACTTTATAATAAAACAAAATTATGCTGATTCAGTTTTTTATTTACTGCCCTTATCTGTTAAAAAGGGCTTCGCAAATAGACTGTTTTTCATTATATAGTAAACAGAACACTGAACATGTTAAATAAATATGGGTGCTTAAAAATAAATGTTTTTGTAGGAACCCTTCTAAAAACATGATGTTATTAAAAAGTATGATGTCCAAACTGGTTATAAAACTCTTTCCTGCAAACAAATATATTTTTAGATGGAAATGTTCTAAGCTTTATTTGTTTTTTAAAACAAATAAACACATTATCTCTAATCTCTCCAATAATACATGCTTTTAAATTAAATGCCAAAGACTTTTGAAGAGATTTTGTCAGCCCAATATGAAACCTAAACTTCGGAGAACAAAAAGTAATATACTCACAAAAGGTTCCTTAAGCTGATGAATGAGGCTCACTCCCAAGATGAAATATGTGCGTTTATCAATGCAACACAAAACTCTTGTAATTTATACCTTTGGTGAGGCAGGTTACATCCCCTCCCATCTGCTTCATGTACTTTCCTCCCCCTCAGAGACACACACACACACACTTATACGCACACACATGCACACATCAAATCTTTATAAAACACAGACACGCACACATGTTCACATGCTTTTGAACACATATGCACACCATATATATGGAAGACTTTTTTTTTTTCTTTTCTTTTAATTTTTCCAAATGTAGTTTCTGGAAAATGGTGTCTAGAAATCTGAGTACAAGACCCACAACAACAGAAGCATGTACCACTGGTTTGGTAGCAGCAAAGCTGTTGTACTAAATAGAAGAATATGCAGGCATTTCATACCTGTAACTTGTTTGGCAAGTCTAATATGATTTTATTGCATTGTTATTACCAGTGAAATGAAGAAAAAATCTGATAATTTCTACACAAATATATGAATTATCTCTATTACAGTTATGTGACCTGTATTACAGCTTGGAAGTGCTGCAAGAAAATAGTTGTAAGTCTTCCAAATGTGAGAAATATTTCATTTTTGGTTATCTTAATGAAACTAAAAGGGAGAAAGCTCCCAAGAGGTAGAAGTAAATAGTTAACTGGTAGCTCAAATATTTTTTTTCAGAATTGTTGACAATACATGAGCCTGTAGTGTTTACTACATCAATATGAAACAGGAAGCTCCACCTCTGCTTTGTCACTGACCATAGTAAAAATAGTAATAAGGGCCCCTATCTGTGCGTATTCCAATATAGTCCAAGTTAATACAGGAAAGTCAGACAAATGCCTTTCCAAAGATTTCATACAGCATTGATCTATATTGATCTAAAAAACTAGCTTAAATTCCTTCCCTTTTAAATATTTTACTTATAAACGTGTTGCAGGAAACCATGCTGACAAAGTGCATTAATAATATGCATATTTAGCTTTAAGCTTAAGATTAAAGTTAATGTTACCATCTCTCACAAATTTGAGGTCTTCTTCCAAATAAATATATATATATATATTTAAAATGCCTAAATAGCTGAAAAAATATGATGTAAAGATGTTATAAAACCTCAGCACTGGGTATCCCTTAACAGGTGGAGATTTTTTCCAGTGCGTTCCACATAGCCCTGCTATAATTAAACTTGCTTCAAAGCCTTTCTTTCACACAAAGCCTTTGTACTCTAGTTGAAGCCACTCATTGCACCTACGCTGCTGGAAGAAAAAAGTCAGGTACGTCTATGCTGATGCATAATAATACGTCAACCTTTTATATGCGACTTGGTGTGAAAGTAAAGAACGTTAAAGTTTAAATGGCTTTTAAATCAGGAACTTTGCTGGAGAATGTGAAATGCAATACATTCGTGGGGGAAATAATGTTAAGAAAAGTATCTAATCATCTTAAAGCTACAGTGTGTAATAATTACAGGCATATAAAGTCAGAAATTGAATATATTATACATAACTATGTTATTTATCATCACCTATGAGCTCAGCCTTTTAACCATAATATTTGCGTTGCCTTAGAATTCGTTATTTATAATTACATAGGAGCGGGTCTCGCAGCCATGGAGGCTGACATCTTTGCGCTACGGCAAGCGCAGAGGCAACAAACTAGCGATTGCGAGATCTCCCATGACGCTCGAAAATAACTACGGCAAGTTGAGAGAGATGAACTGAGACGGTACTGAACAGTAGATGGCAGTATTATGCCTGAGAAGCGTTTAGTCTGCCTGAAACCAAAGAAGAAGAAGAAGCAGGTATACTGCGCCTCAGTAACAAGAAAGGTGAACAAGGCGGCAGGCGTGAGTGACTTTGCAAACTGTTTGGCACTGTGTGGCCAAACATCAGACGAATGGAGGATCATGCCTACTCTGTATCACAACGAAAAACGGCGGACACCGAACCCCCGTCATCTAAGAAGCGGAAACACGACGAGAATAAACGCAAGCGTGACAAGAAACGACAAAAAACACGGATCAACATTGGCACGGCATTTACACGATGGAAGTCACTGATGGAGGAAAAAGGCTTTCAAAGTGACGCTGCCAGTTTTCTCTTGGACAGGTAATTAATCCTACACACACAATTGTCTAATATCACTGCAGTTTTTGGAGTACAGGATGCTCAGACCTGTCTAAAACAATAACATGCTGCGTGATGATGCTGTTACTCTCCAGTATACTTATTCAGCAACGTCCCTGACGTTTCACAGGTAATGATTCAGTAATTTTCTGTAAAATAATTTTCTGGATATATACCTCGGTTACTTCTCTCCGGCTCCTTTGGAGGTCTTCAAGCCTTTCCTCCTCTGCTCTAGTCACCCCGCTGGCTCCCCTCCCTCGCCTTGTAACCCCCGTGCCACAAACATGACTTGGACTCTGTAAACGGGGAATATATATTCTTCCAGCGAACACAATCTCGCTGTTAAACTAATGACTACAATTACTTCGTCTGTTTATATCACCATGCAAAGCAGCTCACCAAAACGTCACAACGATGTAGAAAAAATAACGGGTATATTTATTATCTTAAGTCTACATGAAATCTATACCCTACACAGACTAATGAAATACTATCTGTAAAATTATCTATGTAAACAAACCTCATCACTTGAGAAGGTAGGTGATTCCGACGTCGTGGAAGACATTTTGTCCAGTAACGCTCGCCGTACTGTTGGGGGGGAGAAGCGGTGGGGGGGAGATGTTCATGTTGCTGCGGTCTGTAGTCTGACCGCTAGATGTCGCTGAAAATTACACACTGTAGCTTTAAGTCACTTTATCAGGCTCCTTTTATTCATTCTATTTATTCATGCAAATTAATTATGCTCAAATTTCTCCACCTTTCTATATCATTTATTATTCTTAAAAATTTTATACTTCGTACTGTTTTATTTTTCTCAACGTCTGAGTAAAATGTTACAAACTTAAGCAACATTAAGCTTTTCTGAAAAGGAGGATACAGTTTTTCAGCAGGTCTAAAGAATTGCTTAAAGGTTGGTTTGTCTTTATGGTCTAAATAGCCTGAATGCACAGAAAGAGAGAGGTATGTCAACCCTTTCAGGGCCTTATCATACAGCAAAAGGTTTAATCCTTTTTAAATACCACAAGCTTTTGCATTCACATAAACGTATCATCTTCTCGGCTGTAAATTAGCCGATGCCACATCAAAAAGTTTGCTCCATTCATGCTGGACCTGACAAGTATTTTCAGCTTGTGCTGCAGCAAGACTAATAAAATCATGGCTGGTGCTTGGTAAGCAATGGCTCCACATTTAAAAAAAAAAGTCCCTTGTTTAATGGGAAACTATTAACATCTTCTACCACTGTAGTATATCCCACTGATACCACTTCTATAATTTTCATGTTGTGTTTCTTTTAAAAGGTAAGTCAGGCAAAACAGATGATTCCCATCTGGTTACCTCGTTATGCCATTAACTACTGTAAGGATTTAATTTGTTTTCAATAGGCATAAGTATACACATATGGCATTTCTGCTGTATATAAGTGACAATTTACTGATAATAACTCTACAGAAATCCATTAGAATTGACCCTTTAAAGTAGCTTCAGTTCTTGACCATGATTTGGCCTTTTTAGGTCTTTGTCTGATCTCTGTTGAAAATGGTCTGTTGTTTCTCTGATTAGTGTCCAGTTGCATGACCTTATTTTGCAGTAATTGGACAGCCTCACATTTACTACAGTACTTTGTTTTACAGGGAAATTCACAGTCTCCTTAACAAGCTGCTAAAGTCCGTTGGCTAATATTTGGATGGTGTTCAAAAGCACCACTAGTTGTAAGGCTTAGTGTTAAAGAGATCATTTGATTCAAGGTCAAATAATCCATCTGGTACCCAGCATGTATGCTTTCTAAATAAGCTGTAAGTGACGATAAATTGATTTAGATTCACCTACAAGCTCAACATTTTTTAATATTAGGTCATACAACTAAACTATGGAGCTTTAAATATTTCAGTTACAGCACTTTGATTGGATGCCGTTCTCTGTGACCTCTTGATGAAAGCAGTTCTTTCATCTCGGCCAGAACCAAACAGTAGCTACTGTAAGATAGCTCAGTCTGTCATGTTAGAGTAAGGGTTTTGCCTGGTGATTGGTAAGGATGAAGAGTCAGTTAAAAACTGAAAAGTTGCCTTAAAAACTTCAACAGTGCCTTTAGTTATAAGAATTATTCTCCTGGAAAACCTTCCAAACAGGGTTGTTTTATTATGTATTTTCGAAACTATTTTTCACTTTTACTTAAGTCAAGATTTTTTCTAAGGCTCGGACCCACATGCAATGAAGCCAAACAGAGAGACACAAACAGAGCTCCAGGAAGCAGGTCAATGGCACAGTCGTATGGTCTGTGGGGAGGCAGAGAACAGGCTTTGGATTAACTGAATACCTGGGAGAGGTAGCGGTAGTCAGCAGATACGGAAGAAAGATCAATGGTTTCTGACTCAAGGGGTTCCTGAACCTGGAAACCTGGGGGAACAGCAGATCTGAGACAGTGCGAATGACAATCAACAGACCATGAATCCACATGTCTGTTGGTCCAGTTAATAGAGGGATTGAGAGCCTGGAGCCATTCAAATCCCAAGGTTAAGGCAGAGTAAGCTGTCGGGAAAACAAAAGGGGAAATGTTCTCAATGTGGTTACCAGAAACTGTTAGCTGTAGGGGTGTTGTCTGATGAGTTATTTGGGGCAGGTCTCTTCTGTCCAAGGCAAAAACACGAAGAGGACTCTGTAGAGGAATAAACTCTATTCCCATCTGTTGAGCAAAAGTTGAGTCAATAAGATTCCATTCACAGCTAGAATCAGTCAGAACCGATAAAGAGAAGGATCTATTTTTTAGCTGTAATGATGCAGGAAGGAGAAGACGAGGTGAGGAGGGAGAAATTTTCTGGTCCGCCAGTAGACCTCTCTCTACTGGTGGACCCTGGCTTTTCCCAACAGAGGGCAAGAGGCTACAAAATGCCCCGCCTCACCACAATATAAGCAGAGTTTGGATAGCATTCTGTGTTGCT